CAGCAACCATTGGCGCCATCATCACGGCCTCTCACAACCCTGAGCAGGATAATGGCATAAAACTGATCGATCCATCAGGGGGCATGCTGGACGAAGGCTGGGAGTCCATTGTCACTGAGCTGGCTAATGTCCCGTAAGTACTTGCTTTTCTGCAAACTGGAAGCTTTTATTTATTTTCTGTATAATTAGAGACCTGGAGCTGGAGAAACACTTTGAGGAGCTGGTGGCACGCTACCAGGTGGACATGTCCTCCAAGTGCACGGTACTCGTTGGAATGGACACTCGAAAGAGTAGCCCCCTGCTTTGTGAGGCCCTCATGACGGGGATCAGCGCTGCCGGTGGCTCGGCAACCAACTTCGGGCTGCTTACCACTCCGCAGCTGCACTACATTGTTCGCTGTGTCAACACCGACGGGCTGTATGGGGTGGCCAGTGAAGAGGGTTACTACAACAAACTTGCCAGTGCCTACCTCCGGCTGACTGAGCTAACCGGACAGAGTGCCAACTACCAGCCTCATGTGGTCGTCGACGCAGCGAACGGCGTCGGGGCGCTGCAGCTCGCCAAGCTGGCTCCACTGCTCAAGGCCAAGCTGACCTTCGACATTGTCCACGATGCGAATGGCGTCTTGAACTACCAGTGCGGAGCTGACTTTGTGAAGGTGAATCAACGCGAGCCCCAGTCGGTGCAGCCACTGAAGCCCGGTCAGCGGTACGCCTCCTTTGACGGTGACGCCGACCGCATCATCTACTACTACCAGAACAGCAAGGATGGCAAGTTTCGCATGTTGGACGGCGACAAGATTGCCGTCCTCATTGCCAAGTACCTCAAGGAAACGCTGACCAAGGCGCAGCTGGCCGATGTGAAGGTGTCCATTGTGCAGACTGCCTACGCCAATGGCAGCTCCACTATATACATGCGAGACGTACTACAGATGGACACCTTCTGTGTGCCAACTGGTGTGAAGCACCTGCATCGCAAAGCGGAACACTGCCAAATTGGCGTGTACTTTGAGGCGAACGGTCATGGTACGATTCTCTTCTCAAATGAGGTTAATGAGCGCATCAAGCAATCATCGTCCAATGTCTATGCGCAGCAGTTGATGCATTTCATTGACTTAGTCAACGAGGTAATTTGTCGCGTGATTCACAAATCAATGGTCTTATGTCTGCTAGCCTTCAACAATTGTTCCTCTGTCCTTTTCAGACTGTCGGTGATGCCATTTCCGATATGCTTATCGTGGAGAGCATTCTAAACTCGCTGGCGCTGACCATTGAAGAGTGGGACGAACTCTACACTGATTTGCCGAATCGACTTTTGAAACAGGAAGTCAAGGATCGCAATGCCATCACGACCACCGATGCTGAGCGCAAATGTGTCACCCCGGCCGGTTTACAGGCAGCCATTGACCAGGTGGTGGCCACTTTTGGCACAAAAGCTCGCTCTTTTGTGCGACCTTCAGGCACTGAAGATGTGGTTCGCATTTACGCCGAAGCTGACACTCAGGATGCTGCTGATTTGCTTGCCAAAAAGGTGGCCAACTTGGTATTTGACTTGGCCAGCGGAGTCGGTCAGAAGTATCAACTTTGAGCAACTAAAGTTTATTACAATACAAATATATTTACACAAGGCATTTCCAAAATAAAAATTTAATATCACTCTTGCTTGTTGTTTTGAAAATTAACCGAATAGCTTCCGTTGTCCGGGTTCTTAACTAGTTGAAAATTATCAGTTGAAAGCCCAAATGGCTTCAAAACAACATTGCCTAAGTCTTTAAGTTTGCCCAGCATTTCTGTTTTCATCTTTTCGTTTTGTTCTTTCAACTGTTCTTCAACATCTCTAAGCTTGGAACAAGTTTCAGGAGTAGAATATTCTTCAACTGCTTTTTTAAAGTTGATCTGAGAATTGGTTAAATCATCCTTTTTCTGGTAAGCAGTAGCCATTCTTGCGTACGCTTTGGCGATAATTTTTGAGTCGCTTTTGTACTGGCGTCCAATCTCTACAGCTTGCTCACACTGCTTGATGCACTCGTCGAAATTTCCTTGTTCTAAGAAGACAGCCGCTTTATTGCTGAAAAAAGTCATATCAGTTGGATCCAACTCGATTGCTTTATCATAACAAGTCAAAGCTTCCTCAAACTGAAGCTTCTTGTAAAACTCATTTCCTTCATTCTTTGCTTCAAGAGCCTACAAGAGGGGAGAGTTAAGGTAAGCCAAA